GGGTATCACGAGGGTTCAAATTATTGGTAGGTCTATTTAACAATTACGATATTGATCAATTGTTTAATCAGTATTATAAAAGAGTATGCGATATAACAATTTGGGTACTTTTACTCTAACTGGAAACTGGATTTAGCGAGGAAATATCACGGGGACAAGATTTAATAAGAAACGATTTAAACGAATTAAACAGAACGATTTGTAGCAATTTAAAGGGAAACTTATTCAGAGAATAAATTAAAAATTTTTTTATGTAACCTAAGACAAATAATAACCAATCAGATTTCATATGTTACATCCGAAAAATTGACTAAATTTTTTTTTTTTTATGATACGTATCGGATATGAAATTGCGATTAAATTATAGAAATATTTTCCGCCCAAACTGCGCTAATGGGAATTATTGCATGATCAAGTGACGAATCGAAAGACTTTATTGTGGTTTTATTGATAAGCTTATAAGTAAATTTAGGTAATAAAAGAAGATTTAGATATTAATAACAGAAGATGAATTGAGATTTAAAAGGGTAGACAATCTAGCTAATTTTGAAACAGGTGTTGGCAGTAAGTTCATAAGATTATATAAGATCTGCGTATAAAGAATGTAAAAAAAAAAGCTCACGTTCACATTAAAATTAAATTTTGCCCATACTGTAAGACCAATTTAATGATTAAATGAAACATCTAGAATTATTTTTGCGTGAATAAACTTAATAGGCAGTTTTTAGAACCTGTTTAATTTTTTTTAATTCTTCGAAAGTAATCTTTAGAATCTGGTTGGTTCTTAAATACGAAGCACATTTCTAAAACTACGCTTAATATAGCCATTCTGGCTGGGAACTCAGGTAAAAAAACAGTTAATTGAACCGCGTAGTATATTAAAAAAAATTTATTTAATAGAATATCATGATTATGTCATAATTTTATTTCAATAAAATCCGATTTAATATTCTAAATTCTATATATATATATATATATATATAATTCTATTTCAATAATAAACTGATACATACTGTATACATTTTACTAATTAATAATAATAATATATATTCTATTTTATTCAATATAATATATTGGGAATACAATTATTAAAATCAATGCCATAAAAATTGGCGTAAATGTTATTCAATTGTTGATTTTCGTTTTCGAAATTATTATCGAGTCTTTTATAATTTGAGAATGAAGGAATTATTGTATCTAATTGAAAAGCATTATCGTTAAAATATGAATTTAACTGATCTTGGTTTTCATAACTAAAATTATTTAATATTATATCATTATTAAAGAAAGATGGTTCCTCAGTAAAAATCTTATCATTCGAAGATGTTGAGTCAATAAATGAATAAATGGAATTATCTAATTGTTTCGGGATTTCTTTTGCATGTGAAGTCTCTTGAATAAAATTTTTCTTCGCGATTTTTTGGTTTTCAGAAATAAAACTGTATTTCTTCATATTTTCTTCATATTTTTCTTTCGAATTGACCATAGATTTAGATTCAGATTGATATTCACAACGAAAGTATGCGACCGGATATTTCACTAAATACTGTTTTCTTACTTCAGAAGCAAACTTATTGTAAAAGTCTTTTACTTCAGTCGAAGACCCGTTCCAAACATAACTGGCTGACGCGGAAACGTCGCTTTGTGATAATTTTATTCTCAAATTACGCAATTCTTGGTTGTAAACAGATCGAAAAAACATAAAAGCATTAGGAAACTTTAAGCAACGTTCCTTTTTTCCTTGAATGAAATAATCCACCTGTAAATCGGGTGGAAATTTTACGTCAACTACTTTAATGACTCGGTTAGTTTTCTTTTGTGTTGGTTTTGTCTTATTACTTAATTTCTTTGATTTCATCTTTTAAATTTGCTTAGCGATAAATTTTAAATGAATTATTTTTTATTTTGAAATTTTTTTCCCTTTTTT